CACACAGTGCAACCTGCATAAAGAGTTGACGTGTATAGCAGTATGGCTAAACATGCTGTGTTTTGGCTGGAGAGAAAGATGTTAAAGAATGACATGGAAAAAAAACCTTGATTAACTGAGAGGCCATTGAGAATCATTTATAATATGATAGTTGCTGACAGAGGTACACATGATAATTTTAATTAACCATGCCTTGGTCATTCAAAGCAAAGGGAAATCTTTAAGCCACTGTGAGTTAAATAAGTACATGAGCTAATGCTATAGCTATAATTTTAAACATTAGATGAGGCAGTTGTCTTCTACATAAGATAAATTATTTTCTGCTTAGTGGATGATGTGGAAACATGGTGGCTTGCCGAGGTAACACTAAGAACAGAGAAATATATTTTCTCACTTCTGTCATGTTCAGCCTATACACACTAAGCTACTTCTGTTACTTCTATTACTACTTTTGCCACAGCAAGACTACGATAAAAATTTTGAAATAAAAGAAAACCACCCATTCATAATTTCTGTGATGCGATAAACCCCCAAAACTAAAAAGAGAAGACCACGAATTCAATTTCAAAAGAGGAATAGATTATAAAATGTAGCGTGAAAAGTGTTTTTCTGGATTACAGGAACATAGATTAACATAGATTGGTTCAAAGCACTTACAACTTACAACTTGTGCAATGCAAATTATATGTAAATTAGACATACTACATGTACAATTGCTGATTCATCATTACAGATCAGAACTATTATAATGCAGACTTGGATTGGTTTAGAAACATAAATGAACTCAGTGTCATTGGTGAGGTTTTGTCAACAAAGTCTCAAAGGAAGTAATGGAAAAATAGAGCCTGTATGCAACTTTATGCTGAGTAGAACAGACATTATTAGGCCATAGGAGGTCACCCGTACTTCACCCAGCCTGTTGTCTAGTAGTCTCTCATACTAAAACCTGATTGTGTATTTGAATTGATTATTAAATTAGGAAAGGATATGTGAACAAGGGAATCTCCACTTCAGACCTCTCAATCTGCTGAAAAAATCTGCGCAGACCAGCATGAATTCCATGGTTTATGCTGGCCTGGTGCTGTTTTAGCTGGTCACCCAGCATGGTCACATCATACCAGCATCCAAAACATTTGGTGTTTTTTATAGCAGGGCAGTTACGTGTTTGGTATGTTAAGACACTCGTGTTTCGAAGTAACGTTAGCAAAGTAAAATAATACATGATAGCAAAAGCTTTGCTACATGGGAAAGCGCTGAGCTATCGGTTTATTAGGAACACCTACCTTGTACGCCAAACACAGAGGCTGTAGCACCATGGAATGAATGTGTCAACCATCTTCAGCATCAACTTTTAACATTTACTGCTCTGCATGTGAGACGTTGACCCTACAAGAATCTTGATTCAACTTTTGACAGCATCAACTATTTTCGTTACATAGGACCACATATGAAATATACAGCAAGAGTCTTCTATTTTTCATTCTGGTTGAAATCAGGATTACTCATTCAATTGTAGATGCCTGTGCCAAGAGAACCAGACCCTAGGGACAACATTTTAATGTTTTATTTGCTCTGAATAAAACTTTTTTAGCACGTCAGTGTCATTGCTAGATTGAGATTGGATCTGTAGTCAGATAATAAGAGTGAATCTGTGGTAAGAAAGCGATAGTTGATGAAAGGCTAGAGGATGAGCAACACAGATTGTGCATCAGCAGATGGGCTACAGACTTCAACTGTACACTAATAAAGTGGCAGGGAAGGGATACACTATTTGACAAATGAGCTAAGGGTAACAGTGCACCTTAAATATTAATTTGAGTTTACAGAGAAAAACAGCTTTCCCTGCTGTATTTAAGCATCCAGTTATCTAATAATCAGTCATATCTCAGTGGTTGCTGTCCTCCAGCAGATAGCAGCAGTGTCCCCAGTGATTAGCTGAAGCTGTATCAGGCTGGATGAGCTTGTGAACACAATAATGAGTTGTCATGTTTATGTAACAGTCCATAAATGTGTGTTGAGTATGTTTTGTCAGCGAAGCAAAGAGCACCACTTGTCCTTTTTTAGAGAATGTAACTGGAGTAAAGACCTTGTCATGTGAGAGAGAGAGAGAGAGAGAGAGAGAGAATTTAAATACAAGAGATGAGTGAGGATGACCTATTTCTGAGTGGACGGCAGGTGTTTTTGGGCAGAAATAAATGACCTGCAGTCAAACAGCATCTGTTATCATCCACGTAAGTGCACATTCAATTACACTTTCTCTCTGAAACCCCAGCATCACAGCTGGGCCTGATACACCCATACCTGCACCACACACACTACCAGGTCAGTGTCTCTGCTGTGCTGAGAATGATCCACCACCTAAATCCTATCTGGACAAGAGGTAATGTGATCAGAAACAGACCAATGATAAATTGTGCAGCAACAATTTGTAATTGTACACCAATATAAACCGCTGATCATTTATTTAATTTCAAGTAAAAACAGCTAGTAAATACAAGATATTCATTTTTTAGTGTCAAGAAAGAAGTCAAAGAACATATATTTTAGAGCGGAAAACTACAAAGAAATCGCAACAACTAAATACATTTTTTCAGTATTTAGTGTGTCTCACATTTTACATTTATTATAGCTTCAGTTCTTTTTAGGAGACTTGATTTTCAAAAAAATTTTCCACGCTTCCAAAGTTCAGTCTTAGAGGTTCTGCTACTCATGATCAAAGTAATCCCAAACACATTTAGTGATGTTGAGGTCTGGCCTCTGCGGTGGATAGTATTCTCAGAATGTAATGTCTTCTTGACAGCTACACATCCTTTCAGACCTATAGCTTTAAGTTGTTTTCTCACAGTGGAAGGATGGACAGAAACACCTGTGGATTTGTCAGATCTGAAGCAAGAATGGAACATGATTTTCTCCTCTCTCAAAGATGAAAGCTTTAATTACTGTTTATCTGATGGTGACACTCCAGGTCTTGTATGGTTGTTAGGAGATCCATTCTCTGTATCTTGTCATATTTTTTTAACTCCAGTTTTGAAAGATCTTCTGGAAAAATCTATAATTTGTACTTTTTGACTGTAAAATTTAGTAAAAAAGTGGTCTCACTTTTGTATAATACTGTAGGAGCTCAGAAAGTGGTCAGTGAGAGGAACAAGGTAGGCGTTTCTAATAAAGTAGAGTGTAGTTTTTGTCATTATGAAAGGCAACAGTTCTGAATTAATTTAGGACTAAATCCTAACACTCACTAATACACCATAACTTTATTGAAGGTGAGAAAGTGAGTTACACAGTGAAACAACTGAGGAGCATGATGTCCTCTGTTTTTACAAATTTATACACTTTTTGTTCACTGGAAAAAAGTAAAATGTCATTTATCACTTCTTAAACTTTAATTGAGTTTAGTTCAAATTAATCACTTAGACATCTTTGTAAAGTCATTCATCCTCACTGATCCAATTTAAAGTTTTGACATGATCAGCAGAAGAAACATTTCATTTTTACAGTAGCGACTGCCACTTTTGATGCTGACCTTTAAGGGTGAGAGAGCTGTTTTACACACACATTAGAGCTAAGATAATTAGCAAGTCATTTATCTTCTCTGTGGGAATTTGGCCTTAGAACACTGTCATGTAAAACCATTCCCTCGTAACTTGTAAGTGAAGTTTTGAGCCAGAGGGTGGTTAGGTCTTTAAAAGCTGAGGTTCTGCCTCTGAACAGGGCTGTAGTGCTGGTTAATGAACCAAGAGTATTTGGGTGCTGCTTGTGTGGTAAAACAGAATGCTGGAGGTTTGTCACTGTGTGTGTGACTGAGCAAAAGCACACTGCAGTACATAGCTTGTGGTAACTTCAGCAGACAGGAAGGTAAAAAGCTTTTACCATTTTCTTATTTCACTCTCATTTAATCGCAGAAAGGGCTCATAAAAAGGTTTCCGCCTTCATAAAATGTGTATAAGTATTGTTGGTACACACTCAATGTCCACTTGATCAGAAACACCAATGAGGGCCACCTACCTCATAGGACCACTGTAGCCCATCTGTTGCAGCATAATTTAACTACCCTATATATCACTGGTCAGTTTCTGACCACAGTACCACTGTTGACCAGATATTATTAAAGTGGAGGAACATTTTCAGAATTTACTATTACATTTGTTAATTAGCAGATGCTCTTATCCAGATCGACTTGCACAAAGATTCATGACTTAACTATGTAAAAACATTATACAAAAGTTTGTAGACACCTGCTCATCCAATGTTTCTTCTGAAATCAAAGGGTATTAAAAGGTAGTTTGTCCTCCTTTGCTGCAGTACCAGCCTATACTCTTCTGGGAAGGCTTCACACTAAATGTTGGAATACTGGTGTGAGGATTTGGTTGCATTCAGCCACAAGAGAATTAGTGAGGTCAGGTACTGATGATAGATGATTAGTTCTTGATCACAAGCGCCACTCCAACTCATCCCAGAGGTATTGGATGGAGCTCCATTACTCCAGAAAACACAGTTACACTGCTCAACAGCCCAGTGCTGGGGGCTTTACACCCTCTAGCTCACACATGGTATTGAGCATTGGTGACCTTAGGCTCATGTATGGCTGCCCCAAAGAGTTTTGTTATCAGTTATGACAAATTATGATAAAAAGATTTGCTAAATCCAAAAACGTGTCAGAACACAAAACTATTCTCATTCACTTGAGTGACATTTAAAATGGTGTCCATCTGTTGTACTGTTATACTAAATTTTTCTCCCAATTTTGTTATCATTTTTGCAATGTCAGAGTCACATAAAAAGGTAAAAACTGAACCACTGTTGTATACCGGATGATTCATTGTCTTTGTTTAATTTGTATCCTAAAGCTCAATGCTGTTTAACGGGCCACAGAACATACTGATTACAGAGGATTAAATATACACTTAGGTGTTTAGATGCGCACTGTAGGTTTGTTTATATCATGCTTCACCAAACGCATGCGGTTCATGTTTCACCCGGAACATTTGAAGGAGGGACCAACTCGTGTTGCCTTGGAAACGAGAAGCTTGTTGGTCTCAAACAACAGCAAAGAAAACGATTAAAACTACAACAAACAAGAAAAATTGCTTTTTATTACAAGAAGCAGCTCATTACCGACTCCACAAACTCATAAACGACAAAAAACACATCGCAAAGCGCTGTTAAGTGTGTATTTTTATCGTTTTTGACACGATCTCGGACAGATGAGCAGGTAACGTTAATGCCAATAAACATTAGCGCAGTTTATCTGTATTAAGTTATTTTATTACTGATTGACTTTCATTCTGTTTCTCCAATTCCGGTTTAAATAGACCTGATAATACTACACTTCTGCTACTCTATCTTTCGCTAGCTTTAGTAGTTACGTATTGGGTTTGCTTCTGTTCAGAAAGTTTTTAATTCTTCATATTTTAGGTTATTATGTGTTGGCAGCTCCTCAAAACTCCCAGCAAAGGTAAGAAACACATATAGCTAGGCTGTTTATATCTGTTTTCCTGTTCAAATTCTATGCTTACCATAGAACTGCATAATGATGATACAAATAATGTCTCTATATATAATGTACAATTAGTGAGCTTCAAGCTTTGCAAATTACTTTGTGATATTTGCACTCAGGCTAATCTACAACAAATGGTCTTTTTATTATCCTCGAAGGTCTAGTATCAAAATTGAATGGTGCAGGTTTTACCTTTGGAAAAAAACACAAATAAACAAAAACAGACCACAATGCTAAATCAACTACTAAACTTTGTAGAAGAGTTGCATGCACTTAAATATCTATGATCAGGCACATTTGGACATACATGGCGAATCTTGCAAAAAGAATGTGTCACCTCTATTCCCTAATATACAGCAAGGTTGTTTTACTTAGATTTTTCATCTTCAGTCTTTAATGTGATCTTATTTACAGGGTGGAGTACCTGTGAAAGTAGGAGTCCTCAGCTCAAGAGGTAAATAGAAAGAGCTGTAGGCCAGCTCTGCCAATGAAAATGGCCCTAGAAATCGCAATGTTATAGTCATTAGGTATTAACATAGCTGAGAGCTTCAGACATTGAAGTATAATGGTGGAGATGAATCATTATTGATGTTCACATTTGCTTTCAGGGTTTTAGATTTTAGGTTTAAATCTACCCCATACTGGATTTAATTAGTGCATTTCTTTCTTCTTTTTGCAGAACCACCAATAAACAAATCAGGTCACTCAAAACCCAGGTAGGATTAAATAAACTATACTGCTCCATTTCAGCATGCTCAGCATTGTTACTGTGCAGTTTATGCTGTTACAATACACTGATTGTGATTGTTACAAGCTGGTTATAATTTGTCTAAATCTGAATTTTTGGTGTTTTTGTGATCGAGGCATCCATTTTATAATCCATGATCCATTAATCATGACAGTGATAACATATGATCATCTTGTCCACCCCTATGATCAGTGAAACAGTTGTTTTATTGGTTAAAGTGCCACAAATTTATATGTAAGTCAGCAGTTCAGTAATATTTCTGGTGTTTTTTTAGGTCACCTAAATCGCAGTCAAGCACACAGCCAGAGGGGAAGCAACCTTCAGTAATTTCTGATAGAGGACAGGTAAAAGTCAACTCCAGCAGGTAAAAATGAGAGATTTCTATTTATTTTTTTTATTTTTCAAATGATAATCATTGCACACAAAGCAGCACACTGGTATATGTGGCACTAAACAATCCAAAAATGTTTGTCTTTTTCACAGATAAGTGGCAATTTTTAAATCTAGGCTAAAAACATACAGTCAGCTCCATATGTTTTGGTACATTTGGTACAGATGACTAACAAAATGAGGTCATGAAAGTGTCTGTGTAAAATATGAGAAAACATAACCTTTAATTCAAGTAAATTTAGTCTAAGAAAACAATAAACCTTTACCCAAAATACTTTTAACAAAAACTCATGAGTCACAATTTTTGGCACCCCTAAAAATTCTAATGAAGAAGGTTTTCCTATTTATATTTCTTTTTTTGAGTCCACTTCATTGTCCAGCAACTTTTATGCAGTCATCTATGACATCTACGCCACCTCCGTGCCAACAGACTATTCCAGAAGAAAAGGCAGAAGAAAGCCACTTCTTAAGAAGGCAGAACTTTTGGCAACAAGTGGATGGGTTTGGCCTAAAAAGAAGGATGGTAATGCAAAAAGGAACCTCATGCCCACTGTTAAGTATGATGGAGGATGTATAGCAGGGATGTCTGGGCCGGTGTGGCTGCGAGTTTTCATTCCAACAAAGCAGGAGATCACATGATCAAATGTTTGACAGGATCTGATTAAACTAGTGGAAATCAAGTGAGCTTCATCTTGTTTGGAGTGAAAACCTGCAGCCACACCGGTCCCTTGTGGATAAGATTGGACACCCCTGATGTATAGTGTTTTAGGGGGATATTTTTTTTCCTCCCTGGGAACCATTACACCATAGACAAAAAGTAAGTTTTTGGTTTGATCTTCCAGCACGATAATGATCTAAAACAAACATCTAGATCCACACAAAAATGGTTCAGTGACCACAGAACCAAGCGTCTGACATGGCCATACTAGTCTCCTGATCAAAGCCCTATTGAAAACCTGTGAGGTGAGCTGATTGGGGTCTGGAGAGGATCTAGGACCTTGGAGGATCTGGAGAGATTCTGTACTGAGGAGTGTTATGGTATTCCTTGCTCTGTATTTTCGAGCCTCAGGAAGTATTATTGAAGAAGACTTGTTGCGTTTATGTTGGTAAAGGGAGGTCGCACAAATTAATAAATGCAGGGGTGCCAATAATTGTGACTCATGTGGTTTTGTTTACTTACACTAAATTAAAATTTTCAGTGTGAGGTTGAGCTAATTGTTTATATCTTTTTTGTTGTATTTATATACTATTGATTTTACATAGTTATTTACTGTTTTATATTCTCTATAAAGCTGTGATGTTATTACAAAAGGCATTATATAAATAAGTTTATTTGAATTTTAGTATACAACTGTGCATCTTAAATCATTTACTATGATGCCAATGCCATCATTTTATCATATACCATAAATCTCTTGTTTTTATGCCTGGTATTCTGCATGTTATGTCTCCATGCGTGTTATGAGGGAGAAATGGCATTTTCCTGTCTGTATCCTCCGTCTGAGGTCATGAATGGCTGTGGTTTATGGACGGTGGATGCCGGGGGCGCTCTTCGCTCCAGTAAGCTCTAATACATTTCCTTTTTATAATCCCTTACCCCAGGAGCGAAGCAGGTGCTGTTTTACAGGCTCCGTCCCAAGCAGACGAAACCACGCATGGAGAAAAAAAATTAGCAAAACATGCGTCTCCTGTTGGTGCAGGTACTGCAGCCATTCCCGCCCTTGTTTTCATTAATACCCCAAGGGGCATTTAGTATAGACCAAAACGCTGCTTTTCATGCACATGAACCAGTCACTGTTGTAAGATATGCAAGGGTACTCTAGGGCATATTATGATACATGAATAGTTCAGACTTTTAAAGGAAAAAGATGTCTAAGACGCTCAACATGTAACGTGATCCAATGCTTAGGCATTGTTCACTCTTAAAAATAAAGATGCCAAGGTGGGTTTTGTGGAGCAGTGCCGTAGAATTCTTTAGTTACCTAAAACACAGTGAATAGTGTTGTTAATAAAAACTTATTTAAGACCATTTAATTGAAAGATTCTTCAGGGAACAAAAGCTCCTTCTATGGCACCTTTGTTTTCAACAGTGTTTGTGCGTCCTGTTTGCAGAAGTACAGATTGTTAGTGCAGAGTTTGTGGAGAAGATGCACCAGGATGGACCTATACTGAAGGTGCCCCAATACCTAGGCGTGCTAGAATGTCAAAATAGTCAGGGCACAAGTGAGGAAGAGAGTGGAGATGATGAAGAGTGCAGAGAAGATGAAGAAACAGCTGAACATCGTGCTCCCATTGAGCTGCTTGCGGAGGTGAAGATGTTTTTCAACGTAATTTCTATCAGCTACGTCTAGATTGTAACATTAATTACCATGGAAGTCATTCTGACACTGTACTTGGAAGAAAACAGAAAGCCCAATTGACATGAAACTCGCTTATTATAGAAGCGAGTGGGCAGTTGCTGGATTTTGCACCTAAATGTTTGAAATATATGACTGTATGACATTAATTTTAAGGTACATCCATTACATTCTCAAAATACAGGTTAGAAAGAGACAGATTGAGAGAACACTGTAAAAAAAACTGTTGAGAGAACTTAAAATATCCAAATATCTGGGAAAACTAGTCCCATCTCATAGATTTACAGCTTCATTTACAAATGCATTGGCCTGAAGAATTCATGAAATTGTACATGCTACATAAAAACTTTTACTGATGAAATTTAGCAACTGCCCATTGACTTCTATTGCCAGCTTTTATTTCTACGTACAGGGAAACTTGTTAAAAACTGTGGCAAATGACTGCTTGCTAGGCAAGGCAGTAGGCAGCAGAGGGAGATATAATGGAAAAACATTGGATTATTCCTTTAATATCAGTTTGCATAGGAAGTACTTAAAGCAAAACAACTGCTCATTTTAAGTACCCCTGTTGTGGGAGTGCTAAAGCTACACTGTGTATTTTGTCTGCTGCTGGCTTTAGTTCCTAAAGGCTGTGATGGGAAAGGATTACCCTCTTGCAAAGAAACTCTGTCAAATGAGTAAGTGTTACTTTATAGATGCATTTATTTATGACAAGAGCATATATCAAGACTATTTCACTGATTTTTATTATTACTTATTATTTGACAATATAATACAGATAAATAAATAAGACAGCATGTACAGCAAATATAACAAACACATTTAAAACTAAACTGTATGTTTATTTGTAGATATCTGTCTGTGCAAGTACATGGGCAGTATTCTGAAAATTCAGAGACCACCCTTCATTTAGTTGATTTTTAGTCCGAATGGCACTAAGTACAAGTTACTTATTTTTTAGGAGATATTTTAGAGTGGTTTTAAATATCTTATGTTTGATATCATATAATTCCCTAATAAGGAAAATAATTTAGAAAACAGAAGTTTTTATTAAAAGATATAGAGAAAATGCGACTCCTAACAGCCAAGCAAGACCGGGTAGACCACCATAGCTGTCATTATACAGATAAACAGCTCCACTCTTGCTTCAGATGTGAAAAAAACAGGTGTTTCTGTCCATCTTTCCACTGCAAGAAGACAACTCAACACTATAAGTCAGAAGGATGTGTAGCTGTCAAGAAGATGTTACTGAGAAAAGGAAATAAACAAAAAGAATAAAATTTACAAATGAAGAAGCTGATGGTGTTGTCAGAACAATGAACTGACCGTCCCAGAGTCCAGACTTCAACACCACTCAGTGTGTTTGGTTATAAGAAACAAAAACCGCTTCCAACTTCAAATTCCAGTAAGACTGAACTTCAGAGGTGTGGAAAAATATCCTGCAGATTTCTGTGCAAAACTGAAAGCAAGCCTTCTGTAAAGAATGGAAGCTGTAATAAAGGCAAAGAGTGGACACTCTAAATCAGTAAATCTAAAACAGTTTGGTGGTTTACCTGCTCCAACACAGGCAAACTGTGCTGGACACTGGCCTTCCAGGACTGGAGTTGTGCACCCCTGCTCTACATAAAAAAACAATATATGTAGTTGTTGAGGCTTTTTTTTACTTTTCTGTGAAATAAATGTTTTCTGTTTTTTTTTGCTGATGCTAAAAATGAATAACTTGTACCTAATTGCTGTTTTTATTGGAAATCAAATAAATGAGGGGTGGCCTCTGTCTGTCTTTTGCACAAAACTGTACATATCTGGCACTCTAGCTACTTGCTTCTCTTGCCCATAGTAATCTGAATTCTTTATTCTTTTCATCTTGTTTTCAATCAGTTCTTATTTATGAACCAGAAAACCTAGAGGCTAAGCACTTTCTCCCCCTGATTGAAGAGAGGATACTGATAGGTGAGATAATATTCGCTTTCTCCTTCTCTATCTGTTATTAGCATTCTTTTTTTTATAAGCAATTGCATTTAACAGTTTCATGTTGTGACCATTTTTGTTAATTTTGATTTTCATTCATTTTTGGAATACATAAGTTCTGTCCTAATGCATTTCACGTAAAAGTTATTACATTTTTTCATTTTGCATGCTAATAGATTTCAGATAAACATGATGTGTTTTTAGTTATGGGTTGTATATATTTCCAAAGAAGAAAATTACTTAATCTAAGCCCCAGATCTGAAATATGAATTTATGACAGCCTATGTCATTTGATATATGTGTTTAAATAGTGTGGTTTTATATATACATTACATGTCTGTGTGTCTGTCTCATTGTTACTGTTAGAAGAAGCACAGGAAGGATCTAGCAGTGAAGACAAATCTGATGAAACTGATGAAGAGAGCACCGATGATGACGGTGATGATGATGACGACGATGATGATGATGAAGACTCAAGCAGCTGTGATTCTGATGAAGAGCTCACTGGCAGTAATTCATCATCATCTGATGAAAAGGAAGAACACATCAGCGAGTGCAGCAGAGCACCTCTTCCTCCACAGCTGTGAAGACTGTGCAGTTATGAGTATTTTGTAATCAGCTTTTTGGGTTATTTTATTATGGGTGCTGGAGAGCCTTTGGCTTCATATTTCCTTTTCAGCATCTTAGAAAACTGCTCACTCCTATTGCACATTCTAGATATATAAACACGCAACAAACAGCTACAAAATGTATACACTTTCTATGCAAATAAACATGTTTTCTTTCAAGATAGCAATGATTTCTGAAGCTCATTTAATGCTTAATTATACTTAATCCAGGGGAGCCCAGTGGTCCTGTTGGTCTACCTTCTCAAACACACCTGATGCATCTTAACAGTTGGGGATCAGATGTACTAAGTGTGCAAGCGCAGGTAAATCGCCAAACTCAGGCCCTCTGGAGCCACAATACAGTTAATAAGCTGTTACCTCTATCAAACAGGAAGCTCACAGCAAAACTATTCATAGTGAAATTATTGCGATGTATGCATGCAAGGATTGGAAACACGCTGGTTGTTTTTGCAGCATATTTACACAATATCATAATGTGTTTACCATGTCGTCAGTCATTTACCAGATTTAGTATGTGTGTGTTGAGTAGGAAAATCACCACAATCCACACGTCCACCTGTCTGTACATCCACCAGCCCATCCATCTGTTTATCTATCCATGCAACAATCAACTGATCCATCCATCCATTCATCCATCCAACCATCTATTGTTTCACTCATCCACCCAACTATCCATTCATCCATGTGCCCTCATCATTCATCCATCCATCCATTTACCCTTATTATCCATCCATCTTTCACTCATCCATCCATCCATCCATTCACTCAGTCATCCTTCCATCTGTCCATACCCTTCACTCATTCATCTATCCATCCATTCACTCAGGCACTAGTCCATCCATCCGTCCATACATCCTTTCATCCAACACATTCTCTTACTTAGCCAGCCATCCATCAAAGTATACATCCATGCATCCTTCAGTCTACCAATACACATTCCCATATTTCTACTAATCCATCTTTCTTTCCATCTACCCATCCACCCATCTATCTTTGCATTCATCCTGTGTCCTGTGCTGCACGTCTTTCTGATGAAAAAGCACAGACATTTATATAAAACATATTTATCAGCTAATATAGCTTAACTTTTTTTTTGGTGATGAGTCAGACAAGGTTTTTTTTATTGTAAACAGTTGCTCAACATTTCTTTGTCAGCAAAAAACCTAATGTTTTTTACATGTGTACTAGAAGAAGAGTTTTTTATTTATATATCTAATTCACCTTTAGACGTTATGCATTAATGCTGATGATTCAGCAAACCTGAAAGTAATGTAAACAAGCTGAAAACAGAGTGTGACTCTTTTCAGACTCGTGCTCTGGGGCCAGGGCTGTAGATGAGAGTCATGCAAATATAGTCTAGTTCTCTGTCGCTCCCTGGTGGTGATAGGTGGTTTAAAAGGGGCTTCAGAACATAAATGGGCAAAGATGTATGAAATGAAAGATTTGGTGTGCGTGACAGGGTTAAAAGGATTAATACTATAAATCTCCTATAAAATACTAAAATTAATCCTAAAAATACTATCAAACTCCTCAGGCTGGGAAAATTGAGGAAAATAACAATATATGAGCGAACAGTGATAAAAAGGCAAGATGTTCCTGTGAGGACCCACCTTCTTCTTCTCTCTCTCTCTCTCTCTCCCTCTCTCTCCCTCTCTCTCTCTCTCTGGAAGGTGAAACTTCTTGAGTGTGTCAGGGTGGGCGGTATGTATTAATTGCCACTCTGACAGTGAGTGTGTGTGGCCCCTGTGTTAGAGCCCCAGGCTGCAGCAGAAGCCTCAGGAGCTGCTGGTGACTCACTGGCGCGCGCTGGAAGAATAAATAGCGGATTGGCGCGCTGAAGGAGGAAAAGAATCCAGAAGCGCGAGACAAACTGGACTGGAGTTTAAACGGAGCGGATCACAGCCGCGCGGGGAGCTTCTCACACAGAATAAGTCTAAATTAAGGCTGAACGAGGACTGAATAAGGACACTAGAGACACGCAGTTCGAGCTGGAGTGAAAAGTCTGTGCACCTGTACCTGCAAACACGGTAAAACAAACAAACAAACAAACAAACAAACAGAAAGACCGTCATGTTTTTACCGTTAATGTAACGATTTGCGATTCTTAGTCACTGATTTACGATGTTTAAGCGATGATTTATGCTTATTCGTCACTTGTAATGCTTATCATTTAAGCGTTTGATTTATAATATAATATAATATTCAGTCATGGATCTATTATTCTAGTGATTGATTTACGATTTTAACATATTTCTCTGCGTTTATGTTTTTTCGTCGTTTATTTATAATTAATTTATATGATTTATAGTGTGTATTATTTATTGACTTATTATTTGATTTATGATTTATAAGATTTGATTATTTATATAATTCGTGTTTGTGTTTTTTGGTGATTGGTTTGTTATATTTATTTTCTTTCTGTTGGTTTGTTATTATTTTTTCTTCTTTCTGTTTGATTTATGATTGCTGTTTCATTAATGCTTCGTATGATTTATGGTGTTTAGTAGCCTATTTTATATGTTATCATTTGTGTTTGATTTATGACTCTTCATGTTGGCGTATATTATTGACAGCACTGACTGGGTGGGTATCTTATCAGTGTGTGTGTGTGTGTGTGTGTGTAGCTGAAATTGCTCTATAAAGCCTCATTTAAAGCCCACAGCTCATTTCCCACATGAGTGGCAGCGTTCATGTTCCGTCTGACAGGGCTGCGTGTGTGTGTGTGTGTGTGTGTGTGTGTGTGTGTGTGTGTGTGTGTGTGTGTGTGTGTGTGTTTATTCAGCCATGCAGCTCAACACACCCATCAATACACTCATTTATTTACGCAGCTTTCGTTTATAAAAGGTTTACTGAACGTCCGTCAAACGTGCTGAAGCTAAAAGAGAAAACGAGAAGAAATGAAAAGTGGATTTTATTCCGTCTTTATTTAATGTTATTTAAAGGTTGAAACTGTTTATGAGTCTGATTTATAAATGTGTGTTTGATGACGACTGGACTGAAGTCTCATACAATCAATGGGGTTCTATAAATGAGGTGTTTATTGTGTCTGAGTTTTTATTGTGTGTGAGTTTTTAGGTTGAATCTGGCTCTGTTTACTCAGTTCATCTGCTGTAAATGAATTTCTATGATTGTGCAGTGTTTCTCTGCTCTGTGGCAGGTACAAAGCGCGCTGTACACTGCTCTGATCGATTATAGGATATTAATGAAAAGAATATCGATTACTCGGTAATTGATTAATGACTACAGAGTGAGGCGTCACACACGGATGGTTTTGAGGAGATACACTTTTGTGTATGTGTGTGTCGGTCTGTCTGTCTATGTGAGTGTCTATGGCGTATATCCTAATTGAGCGTGATGAGCGTGCTGCTACCCATGTCAGTGTGTGTGTCTGTATGCCTCGTGTTAAAAGACTTGTGAGCTTGTATGTGTGTTCTAATCGTATGTGTGTGTGTTCTGCAGGTTAGTGATGGCAGCCTCTTCATCCTCCTCACCAGCCTGCGATCCTCAGCTGGACCCAAACACAGCGAATGTACGACCACCTCCATCAGGTACACATACACACACTAAAAAAGACAAAAACAACAGTAATAATAATACAAGCAGATAATAATAATAATAATAATAATAATAATAATAATAATATAATTAGATGCTAATAATAATAGTAATTAATAGTAATAATAGTAATAAAAAGATTCGATTTAGAGACAGTCTACTTTTTAAAATATATAATAATGACAACAACAACAATAATAATACTAATAATAATACTACTAATAATACTAATAATATTTTTTATCGTGTATTGATACCGTATTTTTTAATTTAGATTTAATTTATATTTTATCTAAATTACGAAGCATCTGGGTTGTTTTTGATTCCTTATTCCGTTTGCTGTGGCTCTCTGAGTCATTCATAATAATGGCTCCTGTATTTTAGTGCTGATGGCGCTGAAAGAAAATGACTGAAAATTGCTGAAAATGACTGAAATTACTGCAAATTACTCTCCATTGTGGTCTGAATAATTCGCACCGCTGCTGCGTGTTTATTGTGCTTTACAATGAGCTCAAAGCGCGGTGAGCTGCTGGTGTTATTGTGACTCAGATCCAGGATGTAAATATTAAAATTATTTAAATATGACTTAAAGTAACATTTCTGCACATTTTTTTATATTTCTACTCAAATAAACGTGTATTGGTGAGAGATGCTTGGTGTTGGCGTTGCTAAGAAACGGTAAAGCTCCGCCTCTCCACCTAAATGTGATTGGATACAATAATTTGAGGGTAATTTCCAATGACAGACATCTAGAGAGAGAGAGAGAGAGAGAGAGAGAGAGAGAGAGAGAGAGAGAGAGAGAGAGAGAGAGCAGTAAACCCATACACAAATAATATTCATTTAGAAATTCAAGTAAATGCAAATAAATGTATAAACATTGTTACAAAAAATTAATATATTTCTGTTTTTGTGATATCGATAAACGCTTTGCTGCTGAATTTCGCTTTCTGCTTCTCGCGATTGCAACTATTACCCACTCATTCACTCATTCAGTCTTACTCACTCACTCACTCACTCACTTACTCACTCACTTGCTCATTCACTCTTATACACCCAGTCTTTAACTCTCATACACTCACTCATTCAGTCTTTAACTCTCATTCGCTCACTCATTGAATCTTTCACACTCACTCACTCACTCACTCATTCACTCTTACTCACTCACTTATTCAGTCTTTCACACTCATTCACTCGCTCATTCAGTCTTTAACTCTCATTCACTCGCTTATTCAGTCTTTTATTCTTATTCACTCATTTAGTCTTTCACACTCCTTCACTCCTTCAGTCTTTCACTCTCATTCACTCACTTATTCACTCTTTCACACCCCTTCATTCATTCAGTCTTTCACTCTCCTCTCATTCACTCACTCATTTAGTCTTTCACTCTCATTCAATCACTCATTCATTCTCATTCTCATTCACTCACTCGCTCACTCTCACTCTTTCGCTCTCCTTTTCTTGCTCATGCTGGTATGTTTCATTTTGGCTTTATCTGTGTAAAACGCGCGTGCGTGCGTGTGTGTGTATGTGTGTGTGTGTGTGTGTGTGTGTGTGTTAATGCTGCGCTACATTTCGTGTTTCTCTCGTGCGCGTCCGTGCTCTCATTTCATGCGCTTCCACCTCAATCAACCAATATCGATCAATCAATCGATCAGTCGCTCAGTGTGTGTGTGTGTGTGTGTGTTGTAGCGTGTGACGGGTGGTACGGGGTCGCGCACGGCTGCACGAGGAAGCTGGGGATGAAGATCTGCGGTAAGTTGCCCAAATTGCTCTAAAGTGCTTCAGACGGGAGGTGTAGTGTCCGCGTTACGCAGGTTCAGACACGCTGTGCAGTCACTCTGACACAGTCAGGATCTGCTGGTATTACACTAGTAATGTCCACAAGTTTAAAGACACCTGCTCATCTAACAGGGAGTTTGTCCTCCTTTTCTACAGTAACAGCCTCTACTCTTCTGGGAAGGCTTTACATTAGATGTTAGAACATTGCTGTGAGGATTTGATTCAGCCACAAGAGCATTAGTGAGGTCAGGTACTGATGTTGGATGATAAGGATCATAAAGATTTTGTTTTGCTTACATTTAGCAGACGCTCTTATCCAGAGCGACTTACAATCCCATCATTTTACACAGGTAAGTGAAGGTAGTGTTAGGAGCCTTGCCCAAGGACTCTTATTGGTATAGTGTAGGGTGTTTACCGAGGTGGGCACTGAACCCCAGTCTACAGTGTAGAAGGCAGAGGTGCTACCCACTACGCTATACCAACCACTACGAAGATCACTCCAGCTCATCTCAAAGAACTAGATGGAGCTCCATCACTCTAGAGAACACTGCTGGTGGCTTTACACGCCTAAAGCTGACGCTTGGCATTGGACGTGGTGACCTTAGGCTTATGTGCAGCTGCTCTAGAGCGTCCCATTCTATTGTCAGTGCAGTAGATTATACAAGCCCAGTGTGCACAACTGAACGCAGGTATCAGAAATGGGTGCATCTTAAAGAAGCTGAATTCACTAATCTGGAGGAGCTTCCGGATACTTTTGGACTTACAGTGGATTTGGGCAGTTAATTTCAGCAACTAACTGAAAATAATTATTTTAAGCTGATCTTACTAAAGTTATCGTAACTGAACCTACAGTCTAAAAGAGTTTTAAAACTGTACTTTTATGATGATGTGATAGATAGATAGATAGATAGATAGATAGATAGATAGATAGATAGATAGATAGATCAGCTTATGTTTCGTTTATTTTCTCCGTGAAAATTAGGTTAGCACATCATCTACAGGGAACACACTTAACCATGACATTTTCCTGCAATTTTTAGAGTATACTTTATATTTATTTGCTGAATTTAACATATTGGAAAAAATAAAACATTAAATGTAAAAATGCCATAAAAATGCCAAAGTATAAAAGCCATAACGTTTGCACAGGCCAGTAGACTGAGCTCTGCTCAGGACTGATGATAAAGAACATGGAAGGATGTGTCTTTATTTATCCAGCTAGAGGACAGAGTACCCTTCACAACTGGATTATTATTCTTTAGCTCCACATCGTTTCTCTCTTCAATTCCCCATTACACAAATAAATTATAGGGAGCTTTTTCACTTTTACCATCCAGTATTTTTATCATCCCAATGATATCAAACAATCAGCTCGGTGTTCATGGGCTGGTGTGGGATCGATACTCACATTAATGCAGAATTTGAACCCAATAAAACTCATAATGTTCTCATTATAGACCAACACGAACCTAATAATAGAGGCAACATTTTCATTCAGGATTTTTCTCCTCATGCGTGAAGATCAGCAGGGTGAATCCTCTCTGCGCCCCCTGCTGACGACAGGCAGTTATTTAAGAAAAAAAGAGAGGAAAAAAGAAAAGGCACTGTCAACGATTTCATTCGTTATTAAGAACGTTTTAGGTTTAGGTTCTTAGTATATTCCAATAATCTTTAGTATTTGATAATAATTTCTATAATTTATAAATATATAATTTGTAGTTGTGAGACGAGCGAAACGGCACAATTACAGTCTTACGATAAAAAAATTACAGTAAAACTCCTCTTTGTCCTGAAAAACAGCTATAATTTACTGCCCCTTGTCTAATGAAAATAACAGTGTATCATACAGTGTGTAAATATACAGTATGAGCGGTTTGTTATTTGTTTGTGAACCTTTGGGATCGCACGCTGTAATAAACGCACTGATGTTCAGATTTACAGCTCTGAACATCACTCTTATCAGCTTTAGCCTCAATGGAACAGATCCGCTTCTCTGGCTTCTGTTTTGCGCGATAATGCAGATGATAATCAGCGTCCACTGGGACTGATGTGCGGCTTTAGGGGTCCCTCCCATTTGATTTGGGAAAATTGGCCTTTTTTCGTGGTGTTATTCACTCAAAATGGTGCGGCTTAAGGGCTGTAATCGAAAACAAAATCTATTACTCAAAAATTGTTTGTCGTTTATAACAACTTCCTTTACCTTAAAGCTCCATATTCTACATATTTCTTGTATTACAGTTTTCCCCTGAGGCCTGCTTAAACATGCTGTTTTTGTTACTGTATCTTTAAGACAGTATGTAAATGAGCTCTGATTATATCACAGTCCTTATAACTTGGTTTCCGTAAATGGACTGTATGAACTGAGGAGTGAACAGTACATTGAACTCTTTCATCAAAAAAGGAGGAAAATTCAGTTTTCCATGATAGGAAAATTCAGTTAGTGCTAACCCAGTATTTGCCGTGTAAAGTATGACTCTGCTTTCTCCGCTGTTCATCCAGTTCGTTACAGTAAAATATCTCTGATGGATCAGTGTCATGAAGCATCACTCCATCAGTCTATCAGCTCTTTCTGCCTGTGGCTAATGACATGGACCCATTTAGATTAGGCAGAGTCACTGAGGCTTGAGTGGGTGGGTGGGGGGTGTTTGGCTGGGGTTTGTAGGGGTTTATATGGGGGTCGTGCATTTGTCTACAGAAAATCAAGAGAAAAACACTGTTGTATCTATTCACTTTCTGTTTCATTGTGGAAGATGCAGTATGTCCCTGCTTGTTTGGATTGTCCAAGCACACTGAGAAGTATTATTTCTATTATGCTATAAGAACAGCACAGTTTGGGGGAATCTGAGTTGACACATCACTAATACACAACCACTAACAACCCGTGTAAATCTTGTAATAAATCTTGTAATACAGCTAGTCTAAAACACTACATGGTTAAGATGCTGTACAATTAAGTGCCAGTTTTTGTGTGTGTATGTCTGTATGAGTGTGTGTGAGTGTATATTGATTTATAGGCTCATATGACATAAAGTTGTGGTGATACTGTAACGTAATATGCCAACATAGATGCCAGTGGACATGGTAGTAGAGTCATGGGGTGAGTGCGGGCTGTATGTGAATGATGATGTCTAATGGGGACTATGTATTGTGGATGTGTGTTTGGAGTGCATATGTCAGTCTAAAAGGTGGGGTGTATATTGTAGAGTGCAAATTGAGAATATACGAGAGGGGTCTATGGGTATATGTGATGGGTGTATATGGGCCATGTATACAGAGTGTGTTTTATATATGTATGTATATACACCAATCAGGCATAACATTATGATCATCCTTGTTTCTACGCTCATTGTCCATTTTATCAGCTCCACTTACTATATAGGTGCACTTTGTAGTTCTACAATTACAGACTGTAGTCCGTCTGTTTCTCTGCATACATTGTTAGCCCCCTTTTACCCTGTTCTTCAGTGGTCAGGACCCCACGGACCCTCACAGAGCAGGTACTATTTGGATGGTGGATCATTCTCAGCACTGCAATAACACTGATGTGGTGGTGATGTGTTAGTGTGTGTTGCGCTGGTCTGAGTGGATCAGACAGTGTTGCTGGAGTTTTTAAACACTGTGTCCACTCACTATCCACTCTATTAGACACTCCCTCCTTGTCAGTCCACCTTGTAGATGTAAAGTCAGAGACGATAGCTCATCTGCTGCTGCACAGTTTGTATTGGTCATTCTCTAGGCCTTCATCAGTGGTCACAGGACGCTGCCCACTGGACGCTGTTGGCTGGATATTTTTGGTTGGTGGATCATTCTCAGTCCAGCAGTGACACTGAGGTGTTTAAAAACTCCAGCAGCACTGCTGTGTCTGATCCACTCAGACCAGCACAACACACACTAACACACCACCACAATGTCAGTGTTACTGCAGTGCTGAGAATGATCCACCACCCAAATAGTACCTGCTCTGTGAGGGTCCATGGGGTCCTGACCACTGAAGAACAGGGTAAAAGGGGGCTAACAATGTATGCAGAGACACAGACGGACTACAGTCTGTAATTGTAGAACTGCAAAGTGCACCTGTATAGTAAGTGGAGCTGATAAAATGGACAATGAGCGTAGAAATGAGGTGGTCATAATGTTATGCCTGATCGGTGTATGAAGCATATGAAGTATATGGTGCTATATATGAAGGTGCAAAGGGGCATGTATTTCAGGCACATTGTGTATGTATAATAAGGTGTATTGGGGCATATTGAATATGGAGATTATTTATTTCTCATTTTGTGCTTCTTTGGACAGACTCAATATCTGCTGATGTCACTGTGCCCCCCTCAGGCGAAACATCCATAAATAGCACTGTCCTGATACACACCATAAGTAGCACTGACCCGGGCTACATATATATATCAGCCCAACTCACTGTTAGTCCCTTAGAGCAAAGCATGTGTCATACAACTTACCTTACAAATTAGCCAGCTGGGACCTGTTGTTTTTTTTTTTTTCTGAAAACAAGTTAAAGCTGCATAGAGATGTTTTCTAATGACAACTGTGCATTTCATTCATCCTCCTCCTCTGCCCCATGTAATAAAACAGGCTTCCTGCAGAAGAACAATAGTTTGGATGAGAAAGGACGCATAGTGGGCACTTTCAGCCAGAAGCAGCAGTTGGTGAGTGAGCTGGGTGAGAGAGAGCAACGCTTTAGACGCACTGAGACTGACTTCTCCAACCTGTTTGCTCGAGGTAAGGAGATTATTGTGCTGTTTTTTTTTCCACAGTTGTTTAATGCTCAAATTCTCCTGACTGGAACTGTCCATGGTGCTGAAATGTAGTAGCAAACTACACAGAAAAAGTAATACATACAATTTGCTTGATTCTAATGTACACATAATTTTTATATCATTGCAATGTATTACTTCAACACAGTTATTGTGCAAACTTAAAGGCAAAATAGTGTTGATGTAATGTAGTTTATTCTGTACACATTTGATTCAAATAAATTCAGTGCAGCACTTTTTCCAGTGTGGAGGTCAATTCTTGTTTGTTTGCTTGTTTATGCAGTTTTAAAGCTCAATAGTACAATGTACTTTTTAAAAAAAAATGAATAATGTAGACCTAATATTCTATCTTATAGATAAAACAGAAGGTGTTTGGGATTATCTTATTTATTCATTTATTTTTTATAGTAGCGAAATAGTTCGAGGACTTAATATTCTAAACGTGTGGCTCCTCTGCTGTTTGACCAGTTAAACTGTAAGACACATGTAAATTATTCTCTCAATATATGATTCTTTAGGTCCTTTGTGTATTTGGATGAGATTTTGCTTGATATTTTTTATATTTGCATACATTTTGCATTTTTGGTAGTCATTTTGTTGGTCATCAGTCATTTCTGTTTCATGAATGATATGACATATCAAACCAAAGATATATAAGCACAATTTTTTAAGAAAAGAAAAGAAAATATAAAGTATCTCTGTGTCTAGTCTTGTGTATATTTTCAACATTCCTGTGTTTAATTTATATTTCTTACGCACACATTTGGCAAATATTCTTTATAAAAGAATAAGTAAATTAAAGGACTTGAGATTAGTACCATATTTTATTCATGTGCAAGTGACTGACACAGCAAGTGATTGTTTTTATTTTGTAGTTCAACTACTTGGGTTAAGAGGAGATTTTGACAGCAATAAAAATTTGATAAAAGCCTGAAGGAAAAAAAAGCAACGGTTCATATGAACAATCACAATATTCTCTATCCATCTACATCACACATCTGCATTCTTCATAGCACATCCATGATTACCTTTTACTTGCTTTCAGATTTACTTCCTGCTAAAAATGGCGAAGAGCCAACCATGCAGTTTCTCCTGGAGGTGGTGGACATCCTCACCAACTACGTCCGCAAGACTTTCGACAGATCCACCAAAGTGCTGGACTTCCATCACCCCCACCAGCTGCTGGAGGGCATGGAGGGCTTTAATCTGGAGCTTTCTGACCAGCCCGAGTCTCTGGAGCAAATACTAGTGGACTGCAGAGACACACTGAAGTACGGAGTCAGAACAGGTAGATGGTGATCAAATGTTGTAAATATGGTCTTTTTGATCAGGTCCTCTAGTGTTCTAGATGCTGGTATTCACACTTTAGGAGCAAGTCTTTTACTTATTAAACCAAATCATTAACAGCATTTTAACATTTATTTATCAAGACAACAAGTAGTAACAGATTTTCCCTCTCTGTTAATATGTTAAACATACTTTCCAAGACTAGTCTACACTTCCATTTCACTTCAGAACTTAATAACAACTCCATTTTGCATGGTTTGTCATGTAGATGCTGGACTATGGAGTTATATAATAGTTGCTGAATAATTTTCTGTAGTTTCTGAATAATAAGCCTTAAGATTAACTCAATAGTAATTCTGGAGAATAAAAATTGATACATCAGTTTAAACTTGGAACCACCAAATCTCTCTTAACTGTATAACTGTGTAACTCCTCTGTGACACAGTGTACAACTGTATAAATGTAAATTTTCACAAAGGTTCATATTCTATAATGTATATAATATTTATTAGATTTGTACGTCCCCTCAGGCCCTGCACATATGTACATATTCCCATATTCATCTCCTCAGCTCCTTTAACATTGTCTCATTATTATTTACTCTCTTCTTCTTTGTTCTGTTTATTCTACTGTCATTTTATTTGTCCAAGTTTGTTATAGTCTGTGTACTTGTCTAGTCTGTTTAGTATGTTACATGTCATATATGTGTGCCCTCACTCAAGAAATGCCTTGTATGTATAACATACTTGGCAAAATAAAATGATTCTGATTTTGATATTAGCGACTAAACTCATGCCATGCATTCAGAGAGAGTATAAAACAATTAAAGATAAAAATTAATGTCAGGATATGGAGGAAATATTGCAGGCTTGGCGGACTCTTGTCTCTGTTCTGGCTAATTTACATCCAATCAAGTGTTTGATATCTTAATTTTGAATATTTACTCACTTTTTTAGGGGTGAGAGAAATGTTACAGAACTGCCTTTATCTTATCTCTGAAGGAAATAAAACTTCATTAGTACTATTAAGGTACACATTATAGCCCTCAGTAATGGGCCCAAACAACACTGTAATAGCCTATTAAAGGGCTTTTCAAATAAAACAGAGGAGTTAAACAGACCAAAATATACAGACTGAAGTGAGTTTGTCTGCTTTCAGGTGCAACGTAAAATTAATGATGCATTAAAGTGTAAATTGTGTTAGAAATGATCAGAAAATGTTCAAGACCAAACTACAGTTTAAAATTGGTTTGTTTGTTAAACATCACTAATTCCTGTCCTTTATCCCACTCTCATGGAATAATAATAATATGTATCCTTCAAATAAAATGTATTTTTAGAACTAGGCTAAGGATAAAGGGGTATGTCTGATCATTTCTCAGTAAAGAAATCTCTCAGGCATTATAGGAATATCCTGAAACTCGACCTAGTTTTGCATTAAATTACAGAATTTTCCATTGCTTGAACCATTAAAGTAGGTCTAGGCTACATTCTTAATGACTAATATTAGTTATTTTAACAAATGAGACATTTTTAATAACATGCTTTTAAAATATTCTGTCTGTTTATCCATTCAGGACATCCCAGGTTTTTTAACCAGCTGTCCACAGGTCTGGACATCATTGGCCTGGCTGGAGAGTGGCTAACCTCTACAGCTAACACCAACATGTGAGTCATTTAGTTTAATCATTTTTTCTTTTCTCTTTCTTTTTTTCTCCTTTACTTTTCTTTTTTTTTCCTTTCTGTTTGTGTCCTGTCCTGTAATTTCCTACCATTATTTCCTATCCTTTCCTTTCCTTTCCTTTCCTTTCCCCTTTGTCCACAGCCTGGGTGATGAGGAGGATGAATCTGGCTCTCTGTGTGTGTGTGAGTGTGTGTGTGTGTGCGTGTGCGTGTGTGCGTGCTCATACACAAGTATTTTCCGATGTTGGGAGGTTATGTAAAGTGCCTGTTTGAGCTGGGTGGCCGGCGGTGCTGGTTTTGTTGCCGTATCGAGTGATGTCTCTGAATGTCCTGAAACACAGGCAGTGTTCATGGCCCACAGGCAGATTAGATTGCATATTGATCAGTACAGAGTGCTACACATTTCATAACAGCGCTGAATGATAGTACAAACAATTGCTACAGCAGTCTGTCCATACTGCAGAGCCACTTATCTGCATCAGTCTGAATGGGCAGGGTGAAGAACATGGCTGCAACTTACAAAGACTGGCAATTAAGGACATTTAATGCACACTGTAAATGATTTCTGTTATTTACAGTGGTTCTGCTCATCTGTCCAGCATTTCCTCGTTCACATACACACATACCCATATGAAACTATTTAAGCAAAAAAAAAGTGATACTGGTTTTATTCAAATCAAGTCAATTATTTAAATTAAATTAGACATATAAAATAGCAAAACATAAATAACAGTGCACACTAAAATAAAGGAAGTGCTCAACCTACGTTAAAAAGGTAACAAATCTTTTTGGCTTGGTTTAACTTGCTAACTTGCTGTGCTTCTCTTTTAAAAAAAATAATACATTCACATTTTTACATAGACATTGACACTGTATTCTAGCACTACTGAAAGATAGTTTATTGAATTTACTTGATACAAATGTCCACAAAAATAAAATATGTCAGCCTAGTTATTCTCCATGACAGTAATTCTGTTGTTTTAATATATTTATGTGGAACTTCATGGCAAATTGATATCTTAGCAAGTAAAAGCATCTAAAATGCAGATAATATGATAAATTTGTCCATTAATTTCTAAATGTGTTCTTATGTACACTGGTCTTAATGCACTGGCTGATAATTTAACTTCAATTGCATCATTTCTTGAAGCAAAACATTATTGTCTTTATTACCTATTGAAATATCTTATTTATAAGAAATATATTCTAGACATAAAATACTCTGAAAACAGGTTGGACAATTTTATATACTTACAACAATCTCATAATGAGAAATATTACCTATATATTGTCTAGATTCTTTTGCACAAGATATTCTTATCTGCAGTGTTGCGTGAGATATAAATATATTTTGTTATATTTTTAAACTTATATTTTGTTTCAGACAAAAAAAAAGTAAACCAAAATTTTGCACTGAGACCTGTTTTACCCATAAATCACTTTGGCTCAGAATAGACTCTTGTGCATATCTAGTTAACGGCTCATTGATTGAGCTTGACTGAGGGCTGGTAGGATTCGGCTGCCAGCTGAGGCCAGCGCAAACCCCCGGGCCGTGGAAACTTCTCCCTATGTGTGTGTGTGTGTGTGTGTCAGTCTGGGTGGCTGTTCTGGTCCCACAGGACAGGGCACTTCATTACCGCCGCCCTTCTTAATATAAACGCAGGGCTCTATAATAGAAGTCACTTATGACGAGGAAATGCTTGTTAAAGCATCATTATGGGAACAATGGCTGGTGGCACTGGAGAATTACCTCACTTAATATACTCACATGCCTGTCTGTGACACACACACACACACATACAGTATAAAATTTCAATGGCAACTGGACTCTTAAAGCCAAAACTCAAAAGCTTTGCCCCCTTTTACCACATCCCTAACAACACATTTAAAACTAACATACAAACTAAGAAAAAAGGTACTAGACTGTGACTGAGTACATCTTCAGTACCTTTAGTGAGGGACCATAATTGTACCAAATTCCACTGCAACTATATATTTTTTAAGTTGCATTAACTTCTATACACCTTGTCGTGACTCCAGGCTTTTTATCTTATTGCTTTGTTTTAAAACATTAGATTATAAAAAGGTACAAATATGGTACCCTTTTCTAGGAAAAAATATTTAAGGTACACAGTTGGACCTTAAGAGCATTGTTGTACCTTTAAGGGTGCTTTTACATTGTAATATAAATGTACCCTTACAATATATTTTTCTGACAGTGCACCTTAGAATAATGGCACTGAGTTCTTCTGTATTGCTTAAAGTGATGTTTTGGCCAAAATGAACTGGACATTTAATTGAAATGGACCAGCCAACACATTTAGTGTTTTATATTTTTAGTTTTGCACTGGAATTACAAGGCTAGTTGTGTATAACTAACCAGTAATGGAAGCTTATACTCCACCAACTAGCACTGTGTAAAACTGCATGCCTAAATCACCACACACTCGCCTCAAACTGAGTGGATTTGTTGAGTAATCTCAAGCAGACTTGCTTATGTGGTTTCTGACCCTGTATGACACAGTGTTATTTATAAATATGGACGCAAGTACAGACAAAATTCAGCCTTGGAGATGGATGTTACAACTGTTTTTAGCTATGTGATGTACTTGTATTTATTATTATAGACACCAGTGTGTCATACAGTGTCAGAAACACATACAGGTGCATGTTTGAACAGCCCTGGTCAAATTACATGTTTTGTTGATTCTTTAAGAGAACATAAGTTAACATATTCTCTACAGTGAGTGAACTTTGGGAAAAAAACATTAAATGTGCCATAACTTTTACACAGACCACATTTATGTTTTATTTTTTACTCAATATGTTAAAATTAGCAAATAAACAGTAATTGTTTAATAAAGTGTGCAGACGTGTGTTTTCTGAAGAGTAATGTGTTAGCTTATTTTATCTTAGAAAATCAGGTAAAAAAGCCAGGGGTGCCCAAACTTTTGCATACAACTATAAGCAAAGCTCAAGATGCGGTGAAGTACGTGGAGTGCTTTGAGTGTTATTCTTTCTGAGCACGTCTGATGTGAAATATGAGGCTCTGTAGAGCATTTTGCAAAGACATGTTTTTAGGTCACTGTGACCTTTTAATTTAAAGCTAAACTAAATAAAGATGCTCTGCGGCCACTGCTGGCATTTTAAAGTGAATAATGTGGTTCAGTAGTGACTGCATTGCTGTCTCAATCCCTGAAATGTTACATTTTCTGAACCAAGAGAAACTGCGAGAGGAAAATGAAAAGACGTGTAAGAGAGAAAATAGAGCCATCATGCTGCTTTTACCCATCTAGACTGGGTAAGATGAAAGATGTTCTAAAGGAAGGGTGACATGAAGGGAGCAAGGCTGTCCAAGAAAAGTGGATTGAAGGGCCCATACTCTACATTTTAGGTCACTTCTAGCATCTGTATGGCTGCCAGTAAAGTCAGAATTCATTTTTACATGAACATTTTCACTCTTCATCACTTAGAACTAAACAGGCTGTTTTTGTTACTGTGACTTTAAGACTGATAAATGTAAATTTCCTCTGTTCTGACTGGCTCCCTTGTGGCTCATTCAAAGAAGAGGCTGAAACAGTCCTTATAACTACAACATGAATGGGAGGCGCTCTAAACTGCTGTAGGTTGAAGAGGCTGATATTTGTAAATGCACTGATTTTCAAGACATCATGAAACAACAATTTCAAAAGAGGCATTTTGCAGCTTTGTTTCCAAATGTAGACTAAATGTACTGGGTAGTGAATGGTATGTTTATAAACTTTCACCACATTTTTGGACTATAATCAAAGTCCTATTTCAAATAAGAAAAAATCAGTTTTCCATGCTGAATGAGCAGAGATAAACGGCTGTATCCTAATTGGGCTATCCTAAAACCTGCTGTAAGCTGAATGGGTGGAGCTTAACTGCTGTAGGCTGAATGGGCAGGGCTAAACTGCTGTAGACTGAATGGGCGGGGTTAAACTGCTGTAGGCTGAATGGGTGGAGTTAAACTGCTGTAGGCAGAATGGGCGGTGCTAAACCGCTGTAGGCTGAATGGGTGGAGCTAAACTGCTGTAGGCTGAATGAGTGGGGCTAAACTGCTGTAAGCTGAATGGGCGGGGCTAAACTGCTGTAGGCTGAATGGGTGGAGTTAAATTGCTGTAGGGTGAATGAGTGATGCTAAACTGCTGTAGGCTGAATGGGCGGAGTTAAATTGCTGTAGGGTGAATGAGTGATGCTAAACTGCTGTAGGCTGAATGAGTGATGCTAAACTGCTGTAAGCTGAATGGGTGGGGCTAAACTGCTGTAGGCTGAATGAGTGGGGCTAAACTGCTGTAGGCAGAATGGGCGGTGCTAAACTGCTGTAGGCTGAATGGGTGGAGCTAAACTGCTGCAGGCTGAATGGGCGGTGCTAAACCGCTGTAGGCTGAATGGGTGGAGCTATACTGCTGTTTGCTGAATGGGTGGGGCTAAACTGCTGTAGGCTGAATGGGTGGAGTTAAATTGCTGTAGGGTGAATGGGTGGAGTTGAATTGCTGTAGGGTGAATGAATGATGCTAAACTGCTGTAGGCTGAATGGGCGGGCCTAACCCGCTGTAGGCTGAATGGGTGGAGCTAAACTGCTGTAGGCTGAATGGGTGGAGCTAAACCGCTGTAGGCTGAATGGGTGGAGTTGAATTGCTGTAGGGTGAATGAGTGATGCTAAACTGCTGTAGGCTGAATGGGTGGAGTTAAATTGCTGTAGGGTGAATGAGTGATGCTAAACTGCTGTAGGCTGAATGGGTGGAGTTAAATTGCTGTAGGGTGAATGGTATATAAATGCAAATGTGTTTATGGTTGTGACATCAAAACAGTAATGAACTGAAAATTAACTGTTTTTGCAGCCTAGTGTCCATATATGGACTGTATGAAATACATTATAAAACTAACAATATTTACATAGCACATCAAACTGTTTATTAAAACCAAGGAAATATGCCCTCAACATTGCAAAGTCACAACCA